AGTTTAATAATTGCCTAATCCTGTCTTCCTTGCCAGGTTGCTGTCCCTTCCTATCCAACTCCTGCCCACCAGGCACGCATAGTCCTTTCTTTCCTGTATCCTTATGTATCCTAGGACACTTCTCTATGATATAACATATCACAGTTTATCTTCAATGTCTCTGGGCTTGTGTCTTTGATTAGACCGGAGTCCCCAGGGCTGGCACCGTGTCTTCTGCCATAGTCCCTTACATGTGGCAGACATTCATCCTGGGTCAGTGAGTAAATGATTAGATGGATGAATGAATGCTATTCTAAGCAGTTTGCATACATGGCAAGAGAGTGGGCTGTGCAGCCATGTAGCTCTGCATTCAAATCCTGGATGTGCTACTTCCTGGGTGTGTGGCCTAGGCCAGTCAGCTAACTGCTATGAGCCTTCTTTATGAAAACAGGGCTTTCCTTGTAGAGCTCTTAAGAGCATTAGAGTCAATGTGTGTGGATCACTTAGAGCATTTGGCACTTGGTAGTTGGTCAATAAAAGATAGACATTGAAAGACCTTTCATTTTAACTTGAATAATAAGTTTTAGTATGACTAGAAAATATTTTTTTCTGTAGTTCCTTGCCCCTTATGATTCTTGGAATAGTCTTCTCTCAAAGCAAGGAGTACAAAGAAGTGCATTGCTTCTCACACTGGCATAAAAGTGCCAGTGCAAGAGAAGTGCATTGCTTCTTGTTGCATTGTGATTGGAAAAACCTTGAATGTCCCACATCTTTTGTCTTACCAACCCATTTTATGATTTTATTAAAATATTCTACTTTTATTGGGCTGAGGAGGCTTTTGTTTCTTTTTTTAATCAAAAAAGAAGGGCAGTAATACTCAATAATTTCACAGAGCCTTTTCTTTACTCGATTTTCATAAATTAGATATTTTCCCCCATAATTATATCTTCTCCTTGGTTCTCTTCAGAGTAAAGAAAGAGCCAGTTTCAAGAAACTGGAAACACAGACTCTTTCCTCCTTGTTATGTGGTGCTTTTGACAGCTGTCTATCTCTGTGTATTTTTTGCTCAGTTCTCAGGTGATTTATGCTACATCACTCCCTGGAGGCAACTTTAAGTTTACCTTAAGCAGAAAAGCCAGTATGGCATTTTTTATTACTTTACGGATTTTGGCTTTTCAAGGCCCTTATTGAGAATCTGGCTGTTTCCTTGACCACCACGCCTGCAATTTGAGGAAGCTGCCATATGTGTGTTGGGTGATGAGCTCGCTTCACTTGTTTATTGGTTAATTTATTTAGACATTCATTCCCTCAATGTTTACTGAGCTTTCTGAGATCAGGGACCTTATTTATCCTCTTCTAAGCACAGAGCCTGGCACTCAGAAAGTACCCAGGAGGCATTTGAAAAGGTGGATGAAAGAATAGACCAAACAAATGAAAGTCAGTTGGATTTAGAAGGTCGTCATAGAAAGGCTTATTGGGATGTGTGTATGTGGGGTCTCGCCTTCTGCTGATGACAAGGGGGTTTTCAAAAAGTATAAGACATATTCACAAGAAACCAGCAATCCTTTGAGATGATGGGACAGTGCTTTATGCTATGGGAAAAGAGTTTTGGGGTTTTGGTGAGTCCAAACTATGATCCTTGAGTATTAAAAAAATTCTGTATTTTATTGAGCCATTTTTAAGTGAGGAGGTCCAAAAGTCTTCTTGGAGAAGGTGTGGCTTTATCTGGGCCGTGAAGGAGAAGTAGCATTTATGTTGGTGGAGGGAATCAGTGAAGGTGATTTCTGCTAGTATAAAAGTTGAAGGGGACCTGTGAACATGTAGGTGTGGAAGACACCTTGAGGAGTGGTGGGAATTGAGCTTTTAAAATGGACTGGAGGACTTGAACAGACATTTTGATGCTCAGTATCCCTAGTCATCAGGAAAATGCAAATCAAAGCCAAAATGAGACACCACTTCACACCCACTAGGAGGGCCATTATAAAAGACCAAAAAACAAGAAAGATCCCCCTCAAAACAGAAAATAACAAATGGTGACAAGGATGTGGAGAAATTGGAACACTTCTGCACTGTTCTTGGGAATATAAAATGATCAGCCATGGTGGAAAATGGTATGATGATTACTAAAAAAAATAAATATGTAAAAGTAAATGTATACCCAAAAGAATTGAATGCAAGGTCTTGGAACAGATCTTAGTACACCCTTGTTCATAGCAGCATTATTCACAATAGCCAAAAGGTGGAAGCAACTTAAATGTTATTGACAGGTGAATGGATGAACAAAATGTGGTCTATATATACACAATGGAATATTATTCAGCCTTAAGAAGGAAGTCACATGCCACAACATGGATGAGCCTTGAAGACATTATGCTAAGTGAAAAAAGCCAGTCACAAAAGGACAAAAACTTTGAGTCGCCTTGTATGAGATCCCTTGTTGTTAGTGCTATCAAGTTGATTTTGACTCCTAGTGACCCTAGTCTGTCTTAGTCTGGAAGCGCCACTGAAACCTGTCCACTGTGGGTGACTGGGCTGGTATTTGAAATACTGGTGGCATAGCTTTCAGCATCATAGCAACATGTAGCCGCCATGGTATGACAACCAACAGTTGAGTGGTATGGTTCCCTCACTGGGAAACAATCCTGGGCTGTGGCAGTGAGTGCTGAATCTTAACCACTAGACCACTAGGACTGGCTATGTGAGGTCTCTTGAGCAGTCAAATTCACAGACAGAGAGTAGAATGGTGATTGCCAAGGGCCGGGGGAGAGGAAATGAGGAGTTAGAGTTTAATGGGTACAGAGTTTCAGTTTGGGAAGATAAAGTTCTAGAGATGGAGAGTGACGATGGTTGCACAACAGTGTGAATGTACTTAATGCTCCAGAACTGTACATATTAAAATGGTAACTTTTATGTTTATGTTATTATGATAAAAAGTATAAAAAATAAAAGAAATGGCACTGAACTCCATTTCTGATTTCTTCCTTTTCTAAGCCACATTGCCTCGCGCTGTCCGGTTGTGACATTGCATGGGGAGAAACCAGTGAGGCCCCGTGGGCATTGTCTGTGCCAGACCTGGTGTCTGTGCTCACACAGTGTGCTCTGGCTCCCACTCTCGCCGCTGCTTTTCTGGAAGATGCTACCAGGGTCGTTAGTGACTAGTTAATTGCCAAATGCAGTGGACACTTTCTCAGACCCTTTGTCCCATGGCTTGGCTGAGGCAGTGGGCATGCTGGTCTTTCTTCCCAGAGCTCTGCCCTCCTTGGGTTTCCTGGATACCAGCCTTTGTCTCTTGTTGCTTGTGCTTTGGGTGTCAGATCTAGGAAGCCATTCCTAATCCATAGTCACGGAGATTGACTCCTCCATTTTCTTCTTTGAGTTTTATTGGCAAACTTTTCATGTAAAGACCATACAGTAAGTTTTTTAGCTTTTTGGGCCACATATGGTCTCTGTTCCATATTCTTATTTGGTTTTGTTGCTTTGTTTTGTTTTATAACCTTTAAAAAATGTAAAAACTGTTCTCAGTTCTCAGGGCATACAAAACCAGGCTGTGGGCCAGATTTGGCCCATGGGTCATATCTTGCTGACGCCTGTTCGAGGACCTTGCTGTGAAAGGTTGAGTCATTCTAGTGAGGAGTTGAGCTGGGTTTGAGATTTGTTGTTGCTATAGATGCTTTTGGTGCACCACAGGCTCCAGATTGTGCTAGGGGGAGGAGAAGAAAGTAGGGGCTGCTGAGATGCCAGGGGGTTTCCCGTAATGGTCCCCTCCATACTCAGCCCTCCCTCCCTGCCAGCATCAAGGGTGGGGGCTCTCCACACCATTGTTCCTCCCTCAAGGGTGCTTCTTACAGGGTGCCTGCCAGGTTTGTGGCGGGAGCAGATGAGGTTTCTCTTTTGTCCTTGTGCTACACTGTGCACCTGGGGCTTGTGGGTGGGGCTCTCTTGGCATTCCTGTTCCTCCTCCCCATACCAGCTAATCTCTAGCTATTATCATGGTGGTTGTTGTGTATGAGCGGGTTTCTGGCCCCTGCCCAGAGGTAGGAGACCTCTGATGGCATTGGTATGGGATCCTAGCTCCAGACTGGCTCCTTGCCCTCCCAGCAGCTTCTGCCCTTCCCCTACTAGAATGGATATTTACTCCTGCCTTTGTGCCCTTGTTGTTTGCCACACTTCCCCTAGAAGCTTAAGATTTTTCTTCAGAGGAGAGAAGGGTCTGGATGGGGGTGAGATGGGGGTGGGGGTTGGAGCTGAGTTTTCCGTTTCTTGCCTTTCCTGGCAGCAGCCAACCCCCTCCTCCACACCTGCACCACCAAGGGGGGCTCTTTCGGTTCCCCTGTCTCACTACCAGTTCTTCTGTGAGCACCCAAGGAGGTCTATGGAGAAGAGCCTGGGGTGGGTGGGAACTGCCCTCGTGTCTGGGCTTCTGGGAGGTCTTCACTATCATTGGAGCCCCTACAGCCTTCAGCAACTCGTTAACATCTGAGCTGATTCCTTCCAGCCAGCTTGTATGGTAGCTGGCTCTGCCCCTGGTGAGACCGTGTCCCCACACTGTCCCTCCTGGAATGGCTTCTCCCTCTTTGGCCTTCTGGCTCTGTGGTTGCCCTATGACTTTTCTCCCAACGAGTTCAAGGAGGCATCATGAATTTGTAGCTTGTCGGCTTTACTCACTGTTAGCCTGGGAGTCACGCTCTACCTCCTTGATGGAAGTACCCACCCCCCAACCTGATATGTGTGTTTAAATGATGCTGATCGAAATGAGTTTTTCTCTCTAAAATGCTGTACCCAACCACAGAATTATTTTAGAGCATCTTTCCACTTGCATATCCGGGCTGAGAATCCTTGGTGTAGACACGGGCCATCATAGGAAAGATGGTGTCAGGTGTCAACTCTAGGTGAGAGTTGCCCAGTACTAATAACTTTACCAGTTGGGGTTATCTTCAGCCTTAGCTAAGTGAAGCCTGCCTCCCGGGGGAACGCTGATCAGCTTAGGGAGTACTAACTTACCATTTTTTACATCTTTTTAGACCCTGGAAGCTATCCTGAATTTCAAATACTCTGGAGGCCCGGGCCATGTTGAAGGATATTACAGGAACCTCTCCCTGGGGCTGCATGTAGAAGTTGAGCCATCTGTGTTCTTCACCCGAGTCAGTACTCTGCCTGCAACCAGGTAAACGGCTCTCTGCTTTATGATCACCTTGTTCTAGTCTGACAGCACTGCTTTTGGGATTCTGATCTTGGTATTCATCTTGGTCCCACCTCCCGTCAGATCCAAGCTATTGTTGCTTAGCCTCCCCGGGACTTAGATCCTCCATCAGAAAAACAGGCAGTGTATGCAAATGCCTCTTCAGTTAGTTATGAGTGAATGGATGTTTACACCTCATAATGTGCTATAATGATAATGTTAACATTGCACCATGCTTGTTTGTGGTCATTATTTTCTGGGACATGTTTCCTGCTCATTGCCCTGAGCCTGGTCCTGGCTCCAGTCTGGTTCAGCTCTTCTGTTAGCAGGCAGCTCCGCAGATAGCCACATGTCTTGGAGACTCCTGGAGGAGTCTAACATCTCTTTTTATGTCACTTCTGGCATCCTAGTAAGACTTTGTGTTTAGGGCCAGGCTGTCCAGCATCTCAGCACCCCCACTTCATGGGGCTCCAAGCCATCTGAGGCATTGGGTCATTTCTGCCCAGAGAACGCTTCTTGCACAGAGGCTTTCACTCCTGTTTACTTCTCCGGGCCTAGTCTTCCTTCAAAGAGGAAGAAATCAGATAGTATGTCTACTTCAAACCCAGAAGTGGCCAGAGATACTAGAAGGGGTATTCTGTAAGGTGAGAGAATGACAATTTGTGATCCTAAAGTCTGAGCTATGGTGAAATGGGAGGAGTGGGGCCTGAAAGTACTGGGTGGAGCTCCAGCCAAATGGAGACTCTGTCTCTGAGATTCCTGCCCCAGGTGGCGAGTAGCCTTTGGAAAGCGGATGCCGATCACCGCTGAGCACTTCCATATTTTCATGTCTAGTGGAGCCTTACATTTTGAGGTAAGAGGGAGTAGGTTGTATCCTTTGTTTTTAGTAGAGTTAAGGCAGCAGTGATGACTAACACCTACCTGTATAGCCTTGAACATGGGGGAGAGAAGATCACATGCAGCGTCCCCCTCCCCTCCACCCTGAGGTGTGTGTTCCAGAGTGAAGTAGAGGGATGTTTTTGCCCATGTTAATGTTGATGTAAAACTCCCTTAAAAGTGATACAGCCTCAAATAGTAAGTATAGTTTTAGTGTATAGGAAAGACTATTTTTCTGACCAGCTATTGGGGAATGGCTTCAGCAAGAATTAATGGCTTAGGTTGGGCTTTTTAGCATCACATTTCATCATCTATCACTTTTTCAATTTGCGGAGTAATGATCTTTCTTGCCAAGATTTGCCTCTGTTTTGAATCTGTATAAAGCATCACAGCACTTGCGCCTGGGGAAGCTTTGGCCAGGACTGCTGCCAGACACTATTAGAGCGTTTCAGGCCTCTCTGTGCATAAGGTCCACTCCATCATAAACCTGGTGTGTGTTTCTTTCTCATCCCCCAGTCTCCTGCTGCCATCGCTCATATCAATAGTTCTTAGAAGCAGCACAGGTTGTCAGTGAGTTGGGTTTTTCCCTGTTGGCTTCCATGCTATGGCTCCTGCAGTTCTAAGGGACAATTTCAGATGAGAGAAATGCTGCCTTGTGGCACACTGCAAACACACGCTGGAAGAGCTTGTGGTTAGCTCAAGTGCTGTTTGGCTCCTGGGCACCCAACCTGTTGCCCTCACTCTCTTTTCTTTGGGCCTATGTGTTTCTTTCTCCTGCTCTTGGGATTGAGATTTGGTTTCTTCTGATTCTCCCTTTCCATTCCTGCTGAGTCGAGTTGATCTCCACATCCTGTGGATTGAACCTCTCAAATGTCTCCTGATCGCCCTCTGCATTCCACTGCACGTCTTTGTCATCTTTCCTTGGGACTCTAGAAATAGTTACTTGCTCGGTCCCCTGCCTCCAGTCTTGCTCCTGCAGCATCCTGTAACTGCCAGTGTTGCCACGTCACTGTCTGGCTTGAAGACTTTCCCAGTGCTTATTTGATAAAGTGCAGAGTCCTTACTGTGATGTTGAGACACTTCAGTATTTGACGTAGACCTTCCTCTTCAGCTCCGTTTGCCCTTGAGTCCTCCATACTTCCTGTGAAAGACACTTTGCTTCTCCCCATCACTAGGATATGTCAGGACAGTTTACTCCAACGTGCCTTGCATACATCTTTTTCTGAAACTGTTCTTTTTCTTAGACTGTCACCCCTTCCTTCGCCTTTTAGAAAATGTCTGTTTGCCATTGATGATCTACATTACCATCTTTGTAACATTTTCTTGAACATGACTAGGCAGAGTGGGTTGGTCTTTGTGTGGCTTCCTTTGTACTTCGTACTTTTAGGAAAGCTCTTACCAGACTAACACCTCCAGCTATATGAAGCTCTCACTGGGGTAAGAGATGGACAGAGCACAGTCCTTGTGTTTCATCAGCCTGATAAAAGCTCATCAGGCAGAAATAATACCAAATGGAAACTTGGATCTACATTAAGGGATGATGAATCCCAGAAATAATAAATAAGTTAATAAATTTAAAAGTTTCTTCCTCTAACTTCTTAATTTCTTTAAAAGACTTATTGACTATTTAAAGAAGAAATAATAGCATTAACTTTGTTGTTTATATCATATACTGAAGTAAAATATGTAACAGAAAAAGTAGTACAAAGAACTGGAAGAGAAACAGAGGAGAGGGGAAATGAAAGTTCTCATGTGCAAAGTGTTATCATGTTATTTGAAGTTAGAATGTGATAAGTTAAGGATACATATCATGGAGCAACCACTTAAGGTATGGATAATAAGCCAGAAGAGAGAAAATGGAATACTAAAAAAGTACTTAACCCAAGAAGGGGGAAGAGATGGCAAGAAAGGAGGAGAAAAGAACCAGGAAGATATAGTCAAATAGGAAACATATAGCAGTGTGGTAGAATGAAACCCAGTGTATCAAGAATTACACTAAATGTAAACGGACTAAACACTGCAGTTAAAAGTGGAAATTAAGCTAGAACCACCTATATGTTTTCTACAAGAAACTCACGTTAAATATGCACAGTTCAAAAGCACAAACACTGATCATAAGAAAATTGGGATGGATATAAATATCAAACATGTGGATTTTCAGGAGAAAAAGAGAAAGGATAATTTGTAATTATAGAAAGGTCAAGTCATCAAGAGTACCTGACAACCTTAAATGCAAATGCACTTAAAAATATAACTTCAAAAAAAAACTGACATCTGAAGGGAGAAGTGGACAACACCACAATTATAGTTGGATATTTCAACACTTATCTTTCAGTGTTTGTTAGAACAAGCAGACATAAAATTAGTAAAAATAGAGAAAACTTGCACAGTTCTAGTAAACAACTCCAACTAACTGATGTTTATAGAACAGTAAGTGTTTATATTAGAAAAGTTGAATGGTTTAAAATCAGTGATGTAAGTGTCCACATTAGATAAAAAAGAGCAAAATGTACCCAGAATAAACAGAAGTAAAAAAATAATAGTAAAGAGTGGGTATCAATGAAATAGAAAATGGAAAAAGAATATAAGTCAATGAAACCAAGTTAGTTCTTTGAAAAAATTGATAAAATTTATAAACTATAGCCAGGATAATAAAAATTTAAAAAAGAGAAAACATGAATTACCAATAGTGAGAATGATATAAGGACATAACTATAGATTCTGCAGACATTAAAAGAATAATGAGTATATTATGAAAAATCATATTCCAATAAATTTGACAAATGGAAAAACATTTTGAAAGACACAAATTACTAAAATTGACACAAGAAGAAATAGAATCTCTGGGATAGTCATACATGAGTTAAAGAATTTAAAGTCTTAATTTAAAATTCCTCACAAAGCAAACTTTAGGCTCAGATGGCTTCACTGTGAAATTCCTAAAGCTTTTTTTTTTTTTGAGGAAGATTAGCCCTGAGCTGACTACTGCAAATCCTCCTCTTTTTGCTGAGGAAGACTGTCCCTGAGCTAACATCCATGCCCATCTTCCTCTATTTTATATGTGGGATGCCTACCACAGCATGGCTTTTTGCCAAGCAGTGCCATGTCCACACCTGGGATCCAAACTGGTGAACCCTGGGCTGGCAAAGTGGAACATGCAAACTTAACCACTGTACCACCAGGCCGGCGCCTCCTAAAGCTTTTAAGAAAGAAATAATAACACTTTTATAAAATCTCTTCCAGAAAATAGAGAAGGAGGGAATACTTCTGACTCCCATTTTATGACTCTAGCTTCACCCTGATGCCAAATCCAGACAAAGATGTTATGAGAAAATCAAACTGGAGACCAGTATCCTCATGTATGTAATTGTAAAAATTCAAAACAAAATATTAACAAATCAACTTCAGCAATATATAAAAGGGATAATGTAACATGACCAATTTAGGTTTAACCCAGCAACGCAAAGTTGTTTTACCATTGAAAAATCAGTCAGCAGAGTTTACCACATTAGCAAAATAAAGGAGGAAAATCATAAGGTCATGTTAGTCAATGAAGAAAAATCATTTGACAAAATTCAACACTGACTTATGATAGAAACTCTCAGTAAACTAGGATTAGAAGAGGAGAACTTCCACATCCTGATAAAGGACATCTGCAGAAACCCTATAGTGATTTAATTAACATTATATTTTACAGTGAAAGACTGAGCACTTTTTCTCTAAGATCAGGAACAAGGCAAGTAGGTCTGCTCTTACCACTGTATTCATTATTTTCCTCCTGGTCCTAATCAGAGCAATAAGATTAGAAAAGAATTAAAGCTATAAAAATTTTTGAAGTGAAATACAGTTATTGTTATTCACATGTCCTTGCATGATACATGTGATCATATGCATAAATATTCTAAGAGATCTATTACCCTCCAAAATTTATTAGAATAAGTCAAGTTAGCAAGATTACAGGATACCATGTTAATATTCAGAAATCAGTTGTATTTTTATGTATTAGCAACTAATAATTTGAAAATGAAATTTTGAAAATCATACATGCATTATGATAAAAAACAACACTAAGGGATAAATTTTTAAAAATATGAGTCTACCTTGAAAGT